CTCCCAGGAGGTGGGAGCTCTCAGGTCCCTTGGGAAGTACAGCTCCTTCCTGCATCTCACCCAAGGGATGGACTTTGAGAGCTATAAACTGAAGCAGATAGAAGTTCCCAAGCAAAGACTCCTGCCCGGTGAGCCACCCAAATACTCATTTTCCCTGGTTATCCAAAGATCACTAGTTTTCCTCCTTGCTCTCCCCATGCTTTGAGCTAAGCCAGACCTCTCTCCCACCCTGGGCTGGATTTGCCTCCTCCCTTAGAGAAGACTATGATGAAGGGCCACACAAAGCTGTCACCAGCCTGCACGCTGCAGGGGACAGTCAGGAGGCCAGCAAGGAGCTGCAGGGCGCAGTTGGCTGCACGTCAGCACTGCCATGGTGCCAGTGACCAGCTCAGGAGCAGTAAATGATGAGAGATATTTGGCATGGGGATCTGTGCAACCCTCTCTTCTGCCCTCCAAAGCAGGGTGAGGAGGAGTAAAATAGCCACATGCCACATAATTGTGGAACAAGTTCCTTTATTAGTTATAGCAGCTGGGAGGGAGCCAGGGGAAAGGGCTTGGAGATGAGAAAGCAGCGCACGGCAGGCAGCAGCGGGGCAGTGCAGGAGCCAGGACAGGCACACAGTGTCACAGAGGGGGGCTAGCAGTGTCCCCCTGCCCCTAGGACCAGATACGGGCAGGGCAGTGCTTGGTGGAGCTCTGTGCAGACAGCTGGTGCTGGCCACGGCACAGGATGCTGCAGGCACCCTCGGATCATCCTGGGAGCTGGATTTCACACTGGAGAAAGGAAGAGAAAACAGTGGTTTGTCTGGTGCCGCAGCAACCCCAAACGCAGGCATCTGGCTGGGTACAGCTCTGTGCAGAACCAGGTCGCCTGAGCTGTCCCCGTCCACCCCGCTGGTACCGTAGTAGACGGGGACAGCAGGCGGGCGAGAGCGGCATCTCCTCCCGCAGAACGACATGCAGCACTTCTGGCCCCGGGGGCAATGCTGGTCCACGTAGCACCGGTTCGGGGGGTTGGCCATCGCACAGGTAATCCGCACAACTGGGCAGGACCACGCGCTGCCTGCAAGAGGAAGGGGCTGTTTGCTCCAGGCTGACTCTGTCCCCAGGGAAACGTCGCTCCTGTGTCTGTCCCCGCCTTCCCTCTGCCCTCCTGGACCAGGAGCCCTTTAAATCACATCCCGGGGAGCGTGCGAAGGAGCTGCCCCTGCACAGCCCCTGGCTCTACGCAGCCCCCAGCCCCTGCACTCACAGCAGGACCAGCACCCCGACATCCCCAGGCTCCTGCAGCAGCGGGTGGCTCTGGGGGACCCCTTGCTGCTGGGAGGGAAGCTCAGCCCTGCAGAGAGGAGGGATCCCTGTCCCCCAGGGCAGTGAGATGTCCAAGGCATCCAGAGGTTCCCCTTCAGACATCCCCTCCTCCATTTCTCCTTCACCTTCCTTGCCATGTGTGATGCCTTGGCTGCATCCTCTCGTCCTTTGGCTTTTACATCTGGGAGCCTCTCTCAGCCTCACTGCAGACTCCAAGGGCAGCTCCTTCCCTTCCCCTCCGCCCTTTTGGGCTTTTCCTCCCTGCAGCTTATTCAAGGAGGTACTGTACCTGCTGGCAGCTCTGTCCAGAGGACGAGCATCCCCACGAGGAGGAGGGCAGCCACAGTCTTCATGTCGTTGTGTCCCCTGTGAAGTCTGCTTGTGAAGAGCTGGGGACAATGACATTTAAACACTTTGGGTGAGCATGGGGGTGGGGAAGAGGGCTGGACAATTGTCAATGTTTATACCTTTTTCTTCAGCCATTGCATGTATTTTCCGGGATTTTTTTGCACAAGACAAACATGCAATTGTTCAATTGCTCAAAAAAAAAAAAAAAAGAGAGAAATTATCTCATTGCACAATGGCCCCATGTAGCCATGCTTGGAGAGGTGAGGGATAAGCCAAGGCAAGATGGTCTGGGGCATTTTCCCCTGAACCAAAGGGCAGGGCTAGGACTTCTAGCTCGCGGGGAGCTGCATGTCTCATGCGGGTGTCACAGGGACCCTGCTGGGGTCTGTTGCTCAGGATTCTCTCCGAATCTGCACCCACTGCATCTGCAAGCCAGACGCTGCAGCGTATTCTGGATTAGTGACAGTCGAGAGCAACAGGCTGCCTGAGCCCCCCTGGGCACCACTGCCTTGGAGAGCTTCCCAGAGGCCACTGGCACATCAGAGGGGAACAGCTCGTGCAAACTCGTAGGGACATAACCTAATGAGAGAAAGCAAGAGAGGCTTTCCCGGGCTTCAGGAGGGTCTCTCCAAACCAAGGGTCTCGTGCGGGGGGCCTGGTGGCACGTGGGAAGCTGCTCTGTGCTGGCAGAAAGCTGTGGGACCCACCAGCATGGGAGCTTTGCCTCTATCACCAAACATCTCCAGGTAGACAAGGAGAGTGCGACCGCCTGCTGCCCTCGGTAGCGTTGGGGTGAGGGGCTCGAATCCTCACTTGGACAGTCTGTCGCTCTTGCTTGGCAAAACTGTCATCTTTAGAGACTCTTGGGTAATGGGAAATTGCTCCATTTCCCACCAGTGGGTCAATACCTCACTCGTCTGGTGTAACAGGTTCCTAAAATGCCATCCTCGGGATTTCTGGTACAGGTGGAAATTGGGGCTGGGCAGGGAAACAGACACAGGGAATGTCCCAGAGGGAAATGCCCGGCACAGCCCAAGGCACCGGAGCTCGGCTGCCAGGAGCTCCTGCCTGGGCAGCCCCCAGTTTCTCAATGGGGCAGCAGAATTGGCTGCTGTGGGACAAGGCCGGGCACCCTGCCAGAGCCAGCCCCATTCCCGGAGCTCCCGTTGGGATCCTGCTGCTGTCCCGCACGCGCCGTGTTGCGCTTCCTTCTCTGTGCTCGACACTGATGTATTAACCCAGCTCAAGCCCATTCATTTCCTGCGTATTAGTTAATGATTGCCTGTTTTCCCTAATGATCTTGCAGCTGAAAGTTTATTTATTTTTTTTTTTGTTAAGTCCATTATTAAAGAGTCCACTTTTAGCCAAGACAAATAGGCATTCTCTGCCTCACACCAATAATTCAGCACTTCTAAGGATCAGATTCATTTTTAAGACACTTTTTGATGTCAGTTGCTCCTGGGATGCGGCAGGACAGTATTATGAGCTCAGCTGCTGCCAGGATCCGCAGTTGCCCAATGCTGAGGCCTTTCAAACACATAGCACAAATTATCTTCTGACCTTGCCCTGAGAGGAGGACCCAGGTGAGACTCCCACGGGGCAGGGGGTAACATTTGGAGAGGTAGCTCTGAGGACAAACCCACCCCAAGGGTTTTGAGATAGGCATATCCCACATCCTGCTGGTACTATTTCATCCATGAAAAGGGGAGATTTAAACATCTGAGTCTGCAACGCTGGAGTTGGCTAGTTAGATTTGTCAATCTCCAGGGCTATTGGGAAAATAATCCCTCCATGTGATCCCGTGGCAAGGCTGACTAGGTGAAAAAAATCAAAGAGCGTGGCTGCTGCTTGCAGCTCCTGAAGCCCATGGGGAAGAAAAAAAAAAAAAAAAGACATTTTTGAACACTGAAGCACATCCCTTAGGGGATTTTTGCTAGGGCTTTCTCCATGGCAAGTTCTGTCATAGGGAAAAGCATTAAGCCTGAGTGCAAACACCCACAGAATAACACAGATGCTGACATTTCTGGCTACAGATTTGCTGCCTGGACTTTTTGCAGCCCCCACGTGGCTCTCTGCTCTGGGAGAAGCAGTTTTCCCGTGTGTGCCATTCTCCATGTGCAGGGCCGGGGTCCTGCAAGGACATCCCCATCGCTCAGCACCCTGCCCTGCATGAGGAGCCCCCTGGCAGGCCCTGCTTTGGGCAACACGGGATGTTGTTGGCGGACGCTGCAATTTCCTGGCCAGGGCGATGCTCCAGTTTGTTCCTCCTCGGGTATGGATGGAGGAAAATGAGCTGCCCAGCTCCCCTCGCCTTGCAGCTCTGCCCCAGCAAAGCCTGGCCAGGCTCCTCCTGTGGCTGGAGGAGCTTCCTGGAGGTGCAGAGATGGGTTGTGCTGCTGTCGGTTCATGCCTTGTCCTCTCCTGCATGGATGGGATGCAGGGTGACAGAGTTTCTGTGGTCCAGACTGGCAGTGTCCCCGGTGTCTCCGTGGGGATGCAGGAGGCCACGTGCAGCCGATGCTGCCTCAAGCTGCAGATTCCAGCCCCAGGTTCCCCCGGGACCCACCCCAAGGTGGCAGCGCGGGTCACACCGCCATCAGGCTGCAGAAAGCCCCAAGAAGAGGCCACCTAGCCCCAGCGACTCCAATTAGTGCTGGCGTCTGGTGCCACCTAGTGAAAAGCCACTAATGAGGCTCTGCAGGCCAGGAAGGTGCTGCCCCGCGCCACGAAAGCCCCTCACCAGGGCATCCCCTCTGCTCCGGCCTCTCCTTGCCCAGAGGATGCTCTCCCTGACATCCCCCCCTGCCTGGGTCTGAGCCCTGTTGCCCTCTCCCCAATTCCCATGGGCATAACCGGACCCAGCATCACCCATCCAGCACCTTTACTCACTCCAGGCGAGCCCAGCTTGGGACGTTTGGGTTTTGCCGGTGCCCCAGGCACCGCTTGGATGCAGCCGCTCCCCTGCTTTGCTCCAGCGGCTGAGTGAAAAGGAGAGAAGTGACATAGAAATCGTCCACGTTTTTATTGTCAGGATAGAAATTTATATATATAAAAGAAGTGTTTAAAAATAGTACTACCCTGCTCTCAAAAACGAAATATATATATACACACACATAGATATTTATAGAAAGAATTATTATCATTTGCTATTTGGTAAAAATCAAAGGGGATAAGGACTGATTCTGATGCAATTCTGCTGAAATGGGGGTGATAGGCAGTTCTGCAGGGACCCTGTGCCCTGCCAGGGCCCTTTCCCTGCTCCGAACAGATGAGCGGCACAGCAGGAACTTCCCGCATGCTCCGGCTTCCCTCCAGCCCAGCTTCGCAGCAGCTGCGAAGGCCACAGAGATTCCCAGGACAAGCATCCCCTTTTCCTCTTGCAGAGCAGCGGGAAGAGTGATGTGGGGGCCTTGGCGGTCGGGTTGGTGCCAGCAGGTCGTCCCTGGATCCTCTCCCCTCTCTGATGGTCCAAACTGACCACACAGTCACATCCCACCTCATCCCAAATGCCAGTTGGGAAGAACAAGGGAATAGCAAAGATTGGACCCAGCTGCTTTGCAACAGGGGTTGGCTTGACTTTTGAGGGTTTTTTTTTTTTTTTATACACTGAGTCCCCTTGGGATTTTGTGATACAAGAACAAAGAATGATGGTTTACAAAAATCTAGCAACAGCAATGCCACATGGCTCCCGCCCTGCTCCCATCTGAGCTCTTCTGGCCTCCTGAGAGGATCAGTTCTTGTTGGCAACCTGCTTTTCCAAGGCTTCGAGTCTAGCCGACATCTGAGCAAGTGAGTGCGTTAAGGAAACCTGCGTAAGCCAGGACAGGTCCAGGAGTCACCTTGGGCTTAATCTGCCCAACTCAGAGCAGCTTGAGCCTCACTCTGGCCCGCTCGCACACAGAGATGTCCTCACCTCGAGGTACCACACAAACTCTGAGGGGACTTGGTGTCCATGCTAGCACATTAGACACCACGCCAGGGCTTTTTATTTCCCCAGAAAGAGCCCAAATCCTCCTTGATCTCATTTATCCTTTTGTCTAACTCCAAGGAGACTTCTGGGTAGACGCGGCTCTGCCAGCACCACTAGCCAGGACAGACCTCAGTGATCACATCTGTTTCCCACCCGCTGCCACCCCTGCGCCTCCCAGACCGCCTGGCGATGATGAGCCTGCTCTGTCCTGCTGCGAGCTCACGCATCGCCCCAAAGGATATTTCTCTCGGTCAGGCTCTCCAGGATGGCCACGGTGTTGGTCTGGAACTGCACCAGCGCCTCGCACTCGCAGGGGCTGCGGATCTCCATCTCCCCCTTGCCCTCCTCTGGAAGGGCAGCTGATGTCAGAGACACGTTCCCAGCGCCCGGCATCCCGGGCACCCCGCGCCGGGCTCTCCCCCTCCCTCTCACACTCATCAATTTCCCTTTTCTCCCTCTTTTTAAGGTGTTACTAAATGGTTTGTGTTCCTCAGGCTGGATCACTGCTTAGCTAACAAAATCCCAGCCAGCTCAGGCACTGATGCCCAGCCAGCAAGTCCCCCACATGGGCATTCCCCCTGCAGCTCCATTTGCTGCAGGCTGCAGGGACACCGAACATCTCAACAGCCCCAGGAGCTGCCGGACACATCACACTGTGGGCCTGTCCCCATGGCCACTGCTGTTGCTCCTGCACCATCTCTTTGGGATTAAGCACCTCCTGGCTCTACATTCTCCTCTTTCAGGTTTTTCCAAGATCCACATCTCTATGGCCACAATGGCCTTAAGGATCCAGAGAGGGAAACTCTAGGATTGCACTAGTCCAGCTTCAAAAATTTGCCCTGCCTGATGACCCTCATGTCCTGCATATTCATTAGGCGAAGGGTGACCTAATGATCAGAGCAAAAGTCTGGCAGCCAGTGCTGGTCTCCTCACTGTGCCACAGGTGTCCTGTATGTCCTGGGTGAGCTCTCTAGTGTCAGAGTTAGTGGCACTGCTTGTTCCTTTGACACTAGTATGAGTGTAAGAATATTAATGGATGGGACACAGGCTGGTTACAGCCACACAAGCTGCCAGGGAAGGA